ATGTGGGCATGCAAGATGTAGTATATTTTATTTGTAAACAGAGTATACATAGCAATAATTAAATATTTCACGATTAGCGTCGAGTTATACCTGACGTATCTTGAAAACCTCTACAGCTATAATTCTATGATTCAGTTGATTATTTGGCAGCTAATAAGTGATTATTGCCAACAAGTGACCAAGATATAACTGATTTAGATTTATTACTGATTAGATATTTTATTCAAATTATCATCCAAACAATTGCTAATTTTAGTATTATTTTTTATTTATCCTATATCTTTTCGACCACGCAGAAAATATTTATTTTACTTGATTTACGCTCTTTCACGTTATATATTACATATGACATATGATATATCGTAAACTGATTATGGCACTTTTAATAATTTCTCGATAAAACTTTATCATTGTATTTTTTTAATGGCACTAATGAAAAATATTTAAAAAATTAAATTATAGATGTTATGTAACGTTAGGGTTTAACGCAGTTATACTGATATATACATATTCGATAATCAATTTAAATTTCGATATTTAACGTATTTAACAGAGGAACCGAGGAATTCGTAGGATTATCGAAACCCATTTCAAGATAAAAAATGAAGTTTCCATTAAAAAAATAAATAAATAAAAGAATAGCAAGGAAGTGAATGGCGGATGAGGATTGTCGTAAATAAATGAATGTTGTTGTAAATTATAATCAATCATTTATACCGAGATTTATATATTCATAATCTGGAGACTCATGATACGCTATATGCGCACCGTCTAATCACGATAAAAATCCAATAAGATTTGCACATACTAAGTCGCGTTATTATATCAAACGATTTTAATCAATAGGCATTGAACTGATTTATCAGGATCTGAATTTGTATAAATACTGAGAGTTTTGGCTACACGACACAAGTACCTGTTCTAAATTCAAAAAGCGAAGATGTACAAGTTCTTGGCACTTACGGCTCTACTGGCGGTGGCTTCGGGTGAGTAAAGAAAAATGTCTTACAAAATTTCTCCAAAAAATTCACATATAAACTTTTACTCTTATTAAATACCACTTAAAAAAAAAATCTAAAGCAATTATTCATTCATGTTTGTCTTCTGTCATTCTCCATAGCCGACCCCGTCGTTCTCCTTAAACAGGCTCACCCCCTGAGCCCCAACGGACGTATCGTCGGTGGCGCCCACACTACCATCCAAGAGGTACCATACCAGGTAGTGATCCGCGTCTTTGGATCGGCCATATGCGGTGGCAGCATCATTTCCGATAACTGGGTCGTGACTGCAGCTCACTGTAACGATTACCCAACCAGCTGGTACACCATCCGCGTTGGTTCCACCTTATCCTACACCGGCGGCAGCGTCCACTCTCTCGCGGACATCATCAACCACGACAACTACCACAGCACCTCACATGGAATTCCAGTTAACGACGTCGGTCTGTACCGTCTCGCCTCCAGAATCAAATTTGACGGCAACCGTCAGCCAATCCCACTTTTCAACTCTGGCGAGAGCGCATCGGTCGGTGCCATGGCCGTCATCACCGGATGGGGTAGACTCACTGAGGGTGGCAGCTCCACCATTATCCTTCAGGCCGTCAGCGTCCCCATCCTCTCCAAAAGCTCCTGCGACAGTGCCTACAGTACGTGGGGCGGTATTCCCGCTGGTCAAATCTGCGCTGGCTATCCCGACGGTGGCAAGGACGCTTGCCAGGGTGACTCTGGTGGCCCACTTGCCATCAATGGCCGTCTTGCTGGTATTGTATCATGGGGTAATGGATGCGCCCGCCCTGGATTCCCTGGTGCCTACACTGAGGTTGCTGCCTTCCGTGACTGGATTTCGGCCAACTCTGGTGTATAAACATCTTCGTTTTTTTAGGCACGACTGCATGGACCATGCGGAAGTGCGTCGTTTGACTGAACATCACTTGACTGATTATAATGACAGTGTACCCATAATCTGATTGTAACTATGCATCCCCTATTGGATAAACTATTTAATTCGATTTTTCCAAATAAAATGACTTACTCAATAATGTCAATGCTGGTCTTACTTAAAACCTCTCTCCTTTATGTTATATATCCCAAATACTAAATTCCATATGATATTCCAAATTTATACATAAATTGTAATTTGTAGGAATAGAAACTTTTTCATTATATTGACCATGCTTAACTGAAATTCTGACAAGTATTATTAACAATGCTACATGTGTCTTGACATATAAAACCGTTAACGTTACTCTAAGTTATAAAAATTCTAACAAACCGCATATTAAAGTATTAAATCGAATTTGACGAGAATGTATTTGCAACCTCACGAACCAGAAGACTTCATTAGGACGTGTAAACATTTTACCGTCTTCTTACTCGATCTTATTAATTAACTAATAATTTCGAGTACTCAGAGAGTACATACCTACTCTATATTACAAACACGTAATTTTCACGACTACGTACAAGAACTCCCACGTTCGGTATAAAAATCGAGTATATCTCGCATTTAATTCTTAATGAAGCAACACAAAAAGTGGCCAATCAATATTCCTATGATACATTAATTCCCTATTTCTCATGAATACCACAAAGACAGGTTCAACGTGGCCGCCAAGTCTCAGACCTCCCCCTGAATTTTAACCCCCAAAAAAAGGAAGGAAAATCCTCACGGTTTACTCATCAGACAAACTACACATATATTTTGTCTGTTTCATTCTCA